TTATTGACAGTTGCAGTGGCCCAGGGTCTGTGTGTCATCTTTTGTGACCCTCTGACAAGCAAAGTCAATGGGGAAGCCGGATTCACTTAACAGCCATGTTACTAACTTAACAACTGCAGTGATTGATTTAACAACTGTGGTCGTAAAATGGGTCAAAACTCACTTAACAAATGTCTCACTTAGCAACAGAAATTTTGGGCCCTATTGTGGTCATAAGTCGAGGACTACCTGTAGGCCTCTCAAGCATTTAAGTGTTAAATTTGCCCATCCAAAATTTTTGAAAGAAAAGTTATAAGGACTTTCAACAGAATATCTTCCATGAGAGGGCACCTGATTGTACAGATTCTGGAGAGGGGGGGGGCGTAACTATATTCAGTTTAGCAGGGTTAAAATGTTGTTTTAAATCTTCAAAGAATGACAGGGAATGGAAAGAGTAAATCACTTAAACTAATTTCTGCTCAGTCCTCAAAGGTTAGAACTGTTACTAGTTTTGTAAGGTCAGAGACTTCAGTTTACAGAACAGCTCAGATATACCAACTTGGCAGTTCTTAAATAAAAGAAAAAATGAGTCAAAGGGTGGGCAATATATTTTTTTTAACTGAATTCAACCAGCATATTTTTAGAGATTAGCTGTCTACATTTTTTTTAAAAAAAGGCTCAGTTTGTATATTTGTAAACCAAAATACATTTATTATATTTCCCAACAAGGAAACAGATACTATAAAGTCATTGTTGAAACTTTCCAAAGTTTAAAGAAGAAAATGTCAGTTATTCTCTTTTCATAATGGTAAATGAATACCAGTGTCAGAAACATTGGCTTGATACCAAGAGCTATATTATGCAAATTCTGAAAATCTATGAGATTCCCTAATTTTCTTTTCTTGTTCTAGTATTTCTGGAACTAATTTTCTTACTGTGCAGATCTGGCACTTTTGAAGCATCAAATTAGCCCAAGAGAGTTACAGAGTGAAGAGAGAGCATATCAGTTAATTGCCATGGTTTATTGAAAATTACAATCAAACCATGTCCAGAACAAAGTAGGGGGGGGAAGTGATCACCTTTCAGTTTACACCTGAAGCTTTGTTCTCACCCAGAAAAATACTTCAGATTACATAATAAATTTTCTCTCTGGTATTAATATACAAATATTGTCACAACTTCCAATTGAGCTCTATAGTTGTCAATAGGTTTCAGTTATAGAATGTTGTCTTTTCTAGTACAAAGTTGCAATGTTAATAATTCCCCATAACTAAAATATTGGCTTAGAAACATTCCAAAAACTTACAATATCTTTGCAATAGTTGCAGAGATCTTGGATTCCAATGAATATTGTTATGACCTTCCAGACAGTGTCGAATTTGACTTTCTGAATGAAGAGAATAATACAGTATATCATTTCTGGTTTATCCATGCAAATATAAGGATATCATCCTACACTTTTAAAAAGCAATGTATTATGATTCTGAATAAATTGCAAAACTTATGATTTTGATTGTTCACCAAATTTTGGGCTGCTTGCTAAGCATAAAAATTCACGACTTCATGAGAGAGAAATACTATCTCTTTCATGTACTTTTAATATGTATAATTTGAATCCTAATCTATTTCTTTGTAGCAGTATCTTTAGGTAGCCTTATTGAATTTTTTTATTTTTTTATTTTTAATTTTCAGAAAGGCAGGATAGATTGTGAGAGTTCTTTCACGTGTATACCCCAGGTGAATGCCAGGTAAGGAGCACCTGATAGGTGGATGTAGAAGAGTCTACCAAGCTAAAAACTTAAATAGAAAGTGGAACCAGATATGAAAAGCCAGAAAGTTAATGGGAATATTTGATACTCCGCTTTCCACCATATGGGCTTAGCCATTGTGCAACAGTAACAAATCAATGAGTTCCTTGAATGTTGCCAACCTACCAAATCATTTTTCATGATTTTTACAAGATGCTTTACTTGATCTGGTAGATCCCTAGGGAAAAAAATAAGAAAAAAAATGAATCAAGATGATAGAGAACCAATGCTTGAAAACTTATCTAAAATGACAACTCTTTTAAAAAGCAACAGTAAAAGCAGAAATATGTACACAACTGTGGCTCCCCCCCAATAAAGCATTGTGAAAAGACTAGGATAATTGCACAATACAAGTATTGTCTGGAAATCCCCCGGGGAACACTTTTAATATAGTACCATCCTATATTGCTTTTGTTTACAATGGGATAAGCAAAATAATACTCAGAACAAGGAGTGATTCATCAGCAAAAATGGTTGATAACTGATGTCTAACAGCCAGGAGCTTCAGAATCTGTCCAACCAGTACTGCCTCTGTGAATATTTGAGCAAGCTTCTGTTAGATTCAAGGTAAAGTGCAAAGTCAGGTGGCATTTTGCTTTCAGTTGTGCATAAAATTTAATAGTATTAGAAATTACTGTGTTTTGGGAAGGAAGGAAGGAAGGAAGGAAGGAAGGAAGGAAGGAAGGAAGGAAGGAAGGAAGGAAGGAAGGAAGGAAGCACAGCTTGAAAGTTTAACAAATAGTCAATTCGTTCAGTGAGGATGCCACCTGATTCTTGAATTATTACAGCTACTGACTGAAGCTATTATACAGAAGCATCTTAATAGTGATGAAAAATGGAAGAGGAGCTAACCCTTTGCACTTTTTAGGAAGTCTTAGAATCTGAAGTGAGTTGTTGATCTGTTCCTTGATTTGTTCTGTTTCATAGATTTCCCATACATAAGGATGTCCTGATATTTCCTGAAACAGCTTCAGTGGAGATAAATAGTTAACTTTGATAAGATAATTCTTATATGTCTACTGGGTGAAAATCTAGGAAATATATTCATCTTTTTTATCTTTACTGGATAACCTAGAGTGCAAATAACTTCTAGCAAAAATATTTAAGAGTTCATGGACACTGTAATAATATCAGTGAACATAATGGTAGCTTATGAAAAAAGGGGAAAGAGGGAACACTTATTTTTCTTCATACTGCATCCAGTTTTGGTCACCACAATGTAAAAAAAATGTTGAGACTCTAGAAAGAGTACAGAGAAGAGCAACACAGATGACAGGGGACTGGAGGCCAAAGCATATAAGGAAAGGCTGCTGGAATTGGGTATGTCTAGTTTAATGAAGAGAAGGAAGAGGGGGGACATGATAGCAGTGTTCCAATATCTCAGGGGCTGCCACAAAGAAGAGGGAGTCAAGCTATTTTCCAAGGCGCCTGAAGACAGGACAAGAAGCAACGGATGGAAACTAATCAAGGAGAGAAGCAACCTAGAACTAAGGAGAAACTTCCTGAGAGTTAGAACAATTAACCAGTGGAACAACCTGCCTCCAGAAGTGGTGAATGCTCCAACACTGGAAGTTTTTAAGAAGAGACTGGACAGCAATTTGTCTGAAATGGTATAGGGTTTCCTGCCTGAGCAGGGAGTTGGACTAGATGACCTCCAAGGTCCCTTCCAACTTTATTATTATTATTATTATTTCTTTCTCAAGTGAATACATATTAGGGAAGTCAAGAGATGTCCAGGAAACAAACCTTTGCATTATAATTCCAAGATAAAAGTGTTAGATAATATTGATGTGCTATTCCTTTTATTTTTTTTTGTGCTGTCCCAAGACAATTTCCATCTCGAAGTGGATCAACAGCACCCAAAACTGAAGGGACATGAAGCAGAATTTTCTGCAAACACCTCTCACCATCCCTAGCATTAAGAATACAATAGTAAAAATTTTAATAAAAAATAATTTTCTGACATTTCACGACATTTTTAGTCTGTCACTTTGGCTACTTCACCTTGCGTAGGTGAAGTAATCTTGCAAAGATGAGTGATCAGCCAACAGAGAGCCACAAGGAGTATGACCTATTTTTTCTTACAAGAAAGCTGATCAAGATAAACAGATCGCTGATTTTCTATCATTAGATGCAGGAACACCACATTCTGTTCTTGTCTGATCAACAGAGAAATCAATGAGGAAATAAGCAACCTTAAGCAGAATTACTGGAAACAAAAATGAGTATGACTGCTCTCCAAGACCTACCAGCCTATCTAAACAGTGCTAGAATAAAAACCATAAATTAGCAAGCAGAAGCATGGAACAGAAAGTGCCTTATTCCCAGCAATTCTCTCAGGAACACTGGGAGAGAAGAAAGCAAATGTCATGTATACACGTAGTACATGGATTTGTATGTCAACAATGCAGCATAATGGATAAATAAAAAATCAATAAATATGCAGTCTCAAAGTTTAATTCAGCCCCTGGGCCACAGAGGTTGCCAATTTCTGGGCTAATGAAATAGCCATCCATGTTAGAACTGCCTAGATTGTATCAAGAACACCATGAGCTATTTGCTGTTCTGGAAAATTTGCTGCTGGAAAACTGCTGGGCCAGAATGCTTAAATCATGTGATCCTGAACAAGATATAAACATTCTAGAATGCATCATTTTGCAAATTTTGTGGGTGCATGTGTGTACAATTTTTTTTTTAAAAAAAAAACATACCTAGCCTGTGCTCCTGGAACTGCCTGATTGAGAAACGCATTTGCCTCAATAAATTCACCAATACCAATTGAATAACCTGTGAGGTTAGCATTGAATTCACGAAGGATATCTGAAAGAAATGGCAAATCATGGAAGAAAGAAATTCCAAGGACCTCTTTAGAGGAAAATTTACTCAACAGTTACT